ATATCGATTACATAACGAGAATGAATCCTCTCCCATCCATTTCCTCGTTCCATTAACATATAATGCGACTTAAATTATAATATTTTTTATTATTTCTTATGATATTTTGTTAAAATAATATAATTTTATAATAATTTTTTTCTTAAATTTTTGTTTATATCGATTGCATAACAAGAATGAATCCTCTCCCATCCATTGTCTCACTCCATTCTTATATAATGTGGCTTAAACCTAAAATATTTGACTTCTAATGAAAAGAGAGCTTACTAAATTATTTAAGTTATTAATTTTTTTTTGTAATTTTTAAAAAATAAAATAAAAAAACATTAATGTCTAATAAAAGTTTCTTTCATTAAAAATTTTTTTCTATTTTATCGTCCAATGCTACGAAAGGAGCGATCCGCGCATAAAATTAAACAAACATTACTTCCATGTGTAATTGGCATGAACTTAACAGTTTTGGCCATACCCACACCCGACAAGTACGGTGGTCGCATGGAGGAATCTTCCAAGTCCAGTCTTGATCTTACTGGGTACGACACGGCTGTAAAGATGATATTTGTGTAATTTGACTCAACTCCTGACCCCATTTTTGACTCTCTCTCTCTACAGTTTACACAAAATAATATCCAAATATCCCAAGACTGTCTAGCATTAACGACACTCGGTGATGAAATGATCAGCCTGCAACCCCCAACAGAAACGCTGCGACCTTAAGCTCCTTACCCTGCTTCTTCTCCTTCAACGGCGGACCGCCCGCACCCCCAACCCACCCCGATTTTCACTCCATTAAACGGCGCCGGGTTTTTCGGGAAAGGTTGTGCGGACGTGTGTACACTACATGTATAATAAAGCGCAACTTTTGGTAGATACCGTTAGCGGTTTCCCGTCACCGGTATTCTTCCCTCCCATGCATCTGTGTTAACTAATGGGTTGTATCCTCGGCAAGCCGTCAACACGCAGTGTTCGACGGAGTGTCGGTGGAGGTTCGGCCCACCGCCCCCGTCGTCGGAGCGCTGGTGATGGGTCCATAACTACTGTTACTGTTGCTGGTGCGGCCAACGCTGGCAGGGATGAGAAAGAACCGGAGAGAGAGGGGCAACAGAAAGCGAGACACACTGGGGATTTTCCAGGTAATGGTATGGGCCTGGAGCGTCGGAGGCCACGGCTGGAGGTGAACCAACAGGGGTGGCCCTCCTGGCTTGTTGCTGTCGCCGGTGATGCCATTCGTGACTGGACCCCTCGCCGAGCCAACACTTTCGAGAAACTCGACAAGGTAAGAGAAAATGGAACATAATTCACAGAGAACTAAAGAGATTTTCATGGTATCCGAATTTAACATTTTTTTTTTGGGTTCTGGGTGTTTATTAGATTGGGCAAGGGACTTACAGTAACGTGTACAAAGCCAGGGATCTTTTGACTGGGAAGATAGTGGCATTGAAGAAGGTTAGATTTGATAATTTGGAGCCAGAAAGTGTGAAGTTCATGGCTAGAGAGATTCTTGTATTAAGGAGGCTTGACCATCCCAATATAATCAGGCTTGAGGGTTTGGTTACTTCTAGGATGTCTTCTAGTCTCTACTTGATTTTTGAGTACATGGAGCACGATCTTGCTGGACTCGCGGCCTGCCAAAGGATCAAGTTCACTGAGCCACAGGTATGATTGTGTTTATTGCTAATTTTGATTTTTTTTTTTTTACATGTTAAACTTTGTTGTCAATTAGGCACAACCAGTCTGGGCCGGGACGCACTGATTGTATTGATTAAAGGATAATTAAAATATATATATATATATATGCCAGTCTGAACTGAAAAAATTATTGTTTGTGAGGTGTGTGCTTTTGTGAGTTGCTTCTAGATTTTGGGTGCTGTGCAAAATATTTTCTTTATCTCTAATTACCATTGTCGGCATATTTGGTTGTGTTTGTCCTTTTTGGTTTTGCTTGTTGTGAACTTTGATATTATTGCAGAATCTTTTCTAGGTTTTAGGTCCTATTTCTTGTGGTTTCAACAGCCAGTCTTTTGTTTTTCTCTGAGCTTGTGACATGATCTTTGTCTTGTACTGTTTTGTGCATGCAAATTCAGCGAAATTTCCTTCTTCACGGTACCTTTCAGGGTTTTGATAGGAGTTTGTCTTGAATTGTTGCTTTCTTGGGGTAGTGTTCTGATGGAATGGGTGGTCGGAGGGGGCAGAGGTAAGAAAAAGATGCTAATTTTGAGATGCTTAAGAAGCAAAAGGCTTTTGGCATTTATCTTTTTTATCTGCGAGAATTTACATGTATTAATATGTTAGGTAGGTACTAATATGTTAGGTATGAATTTATGTCTGGGAGTAAATTGGACATGGTTAATCTTTGAAAAGGTCCTACTTGAATAAGTGTCTAGCTCTCTAATATAGTTAAGCTTAGTTATTATCTTTCCAAAATAAGAAAACAGCCTTAATATTCGGCGTTGGCTAGGTTTGTTGGGTGTTTGTATTGTCAACCTTTTATGTTGTTAGGTTCCCATTTTTGAAGATGTGAAAACTTGACAGGTTGATTGGTCTTTCAATATCTTATCTGTTGCAGGTAAAGTGCTATGTGAAGCAGTTACTTTCTGGGCTTGAGCATTGCCACAACCGGGGTGTATTGCACCGTGATATTAAGGGTTCTAATCTTCTAATTAATGATGAAGGGATTCTAAAAATTGCTGATTTTGGATTGGCTACTTTCTTTAATCCTGATCACAAGCAGCCCCTGACTAGTCGGGTAGTCACTCTCTGGTACCGACCACCTGAACTTCTTCTTGGGGCCACTTATTATAGTGTTGGTGTGGACCTCTGGAGTGCTGGCTGCATTTTGGCAGAGCTACTAGCTGGGAAGCCAATAATGCCAGGAAGGACAGAGGTATTCTTTTTTCTTCTTTCATTTGGCTTCTCCTGAGGCTGCTACCATGTAGTATGTTTTCATGAGAATAATTCTTGCCTGTTAATTTTTTAAGCTAGCCTCTATGCAACAATGTGTGTCTCTACCCAGCAATTTCTTGGTAGACTGTGCTTACATGGTTACTGAATTACATTTCAAAATCTAGTGAATTAGTTATGAAATCAATACTAAGTGTTGAGGGGATTCTATGTGTAAGAGAGTTAGAAAATGGAAGGTGATAGCAGCTGACTATACTAATTGGTCTTTGCTTGTTCTTCACCTACTGGAATCAGTCTGTAAATAGAACTACTAGCATGAACAATTCTAGGTTGCGTTTCCTTTTTCATTTTACTCTTTGAACATCTTGCAGAAATCTTTGTTTCAGATCAAATAATTATTGTGTGATTATGATTTCTAGTCTGCCAGAGCATACCAATTTATGGGAAGGCTATGGACTGATCTATATTTCCTAACTCATATTGCTTCTAGTTGGCTTGGTGTGTTTATTATTTTATCCCAATTGATATTACATCTATCTCTTTTGGTCTGGTTTCTAGTTGGTGGCTATTTGTTTGATGCTTTTGGATTTATTTCTTGCTTAGGTTGAACAACTACACAAGATATTTAAGTTGTGTGGCTCTCCCTCTGAGGAGTACTGGAAGAAGTCGAAATTGCCAAATGCAACACTCTTCAAGCCACAGCAGCCATACAAATGCTGTATAGCAGAAACCTTCAAGGATTTTCCACCTTCTTCTATACCTCTAATTGAAACACTTCTATCTATAGACCCTGATGAGCGAGGCACTGCTACTGCATCTCTGAATAGTGAAGTAAGTAGTGTTACCTGTTTAAGCTTATGATTCCATCAAGTAAAAAGAAATATTTTGCATAAAGACTATTATCTCCTCCATATATTATTTTCTGCTGGAGAAGCGCATAAACTGTTCTGAAAATATTGATTTGATACATGTGCTTATAAAGTTTTTGAGAATAATTGGTTTCCTATATGCATTTTGCAGTTCTTTACCACTGAACCATATGCTTGTGAGCCATCAAGTTTACCAAAGTATCCTCCTACCAAAGAAATTGATGTAAAATTGAGAGATGAAGAAGCAAGAAGGTTTGCCTTCATTATTTCTTCTCCTAATCACCTTTTATTTTCTTGGGCTTGGACCTCATGGTCATATGCTGAAAGGTTGTATCTCTTCTCTACAGACAAAAAGGTCTAGGTGGGAAAGCTAGTGCAGTTGATGGTGCCAGAAGGGTTAGGGTTCGTGAACGTGCCAGTCGGGCAATTCCAGCCCCTGAAGCAAATGCAGAAATTCAAGCAAACTTAGATGTATGTATAATAATTTCTCTGCATTAAATCTTTTACTCTTTCTCCCTTTAATTTTACTTTAAGTTGTTTTTTGGCTAAAGTATAGCAGACTCTTTCAGTCTAATTTCACAAACCATTGTGTTCTAACACAATTGCATCTTGTTCACAAGCTCTGGTGTCTTTACACTCTGTAAGAGATGGAAACTCCGGAAAATTTTTTGGCTGCATGCCTCACGCAATAGGACTTAAAATCCAACTAAGGATTTAAGCTTTATTTTTCTAATGTATTAGTTCCATATTTTTTTCAGTTGATCAGGTTCCATTAGTTATCAATCCAAGACATAAATTCATTAGTCTAAAGTTTGAGTTCCAAGTCTGCAATAACTAGCAATGCTTGATCTAGAATTTCTCAACAGTTTCATGTCTATTTGATTGATTTTCTTTATAATCTCCACATTGTTCATGGCTTTTTCCACCTCTTTTGGCTTTTGGAAATGATGATTAATATATATTCGGGTCTTGTTTATCTACTTGTTGCCAGAGATGGAGAGTTGTTACACAAACAAATGCAAATGCTAAGAGCAAGAGTGAGAAATTCCCACCTCCCCATCAAGATGGAGCAGTTGGACATCCCCAGGATGCATCACACAAAGCCCCCGTCTCATTTGGTACGACAGATACTTCTTTTGGCTCATCATTTTTCAACAATAAGTCATCTGGATCTTCTAAAAGTGCCGGCCCCCCTGGAGGTCCTTCAAGGAGGAGGAAAACCAATAAAGAAGACCTCCAGAGGGCTCCATCTGGAAGTTTCATCCATGGTTTGAAGCCATGTGCAAGAGGGATATCAATGGATATGCTATTTAGGGGTAAATCTGAGATCTTTGGGAGCCATAAATAGAATGGTGATACTCCTTTTTGTACTTACCTATATATATTTTTGAGAAGTAGGTATTTAGTTGCATTTTTTCCATTTGTTACTCCTCATTTATTGTAATTTGATGGTATAAATAACTGGTATATAGCCTGCAACCTCATTAAGTTGGTTCATGATCTACAAATGGAATTCCACTTTTTGTTGTACATAGACTCTGGACAGAGTGCTGAATCTTCTTAATGTTGGCTGAAAAAAAAATGAAACATGCACATTCACTGCTGCTTTTGAAGATGATGCTACTCTTTAAACCTGGTAAAGATACTGAATCATATGCTACATACTGCGCTGCAGCAAGATAAGAGATGGTAAGCTGGTTCTCCCCCTACTCTCCCCTTAACACTTTTCTTTTCAGTTTTTGGGTTTTTGGCAATTTTTCAGCCATTTTCCAGGAAACAAGGCCAACCAAATGGCCTTTCTTGGCCACCCAAGTTTAGGTTGAGTGTCACCTTTTTTTTTATTTTTTTGCATGTGGTAGTAAATTAGATAAAGGCTAAGGGAAAAAAAAAAGGATAAAAGCTTGGAGCTTCGGTAAATTCTAACTTTGCAATGAACAGATAGATATGGAAGTGGAGAGACAGAAGTTAAAAATAAGGACTAACTCAACTTATAAAGTCTGGAAAAAAAAAGGTTAAATATGTAAATTGCCTTTTAAAATTGTTGTATTAAAGTAAATCACTGCCTAAAAAAATATTGATAAAATTTGTCACCTCAAATTTCAATTTTTAAGAAATTGACTCAAATTTAAAAATTGTTGTTACACTTTGTTAAATTTTTGCTTTTGAAGTCTAAGAAAAAGTTAATGATAACTATTAAATTTAAACTAAAAATTTAAAAATGAAAATTTGAGACGACAAATTGCATCAACATTTTTTTTTACCATGATTTACTTTAATTTTGTGGAAAATTTGCACGATTTACCTTTCTTTAACCATTTTTATATTTTTGTTCTAACTAAATTGAAGAAGGCGAGAGGGGGAAATGTGTTTGGCATTAAATTAAAGTGGAAAAGGATTATTTATAAAAGCTAAGAGTGATTTTTTAAATTTATAAAAATTAAGAGACTAAATATTACGCATGAATATTTCGTTTTAAAATAGAAATCATTTCCATTTGCTAATTATGTTTTCAAAATTTTTCATTTTCTAATGAATATGAAAGGAAAAACTATTTTATGGGAAAAAAAATGGAAAATAGAAAAAAATTTCTCTTATCAAACAC